TCTTTACGTACCATTACTCAAGTGGAGACAATCTGGACTCTGTCCAACAAGATATGGGAGAGAATCGTGCTCTAGCGCTCTGGAAGGTAACAGATGTGCACTCTATTTAACAGACCTATAAAATCCTGGATCTTGGTTCAAATTATTGTTAAAAAAAAAAAAAAAAAGTGAGAATTATTAATCATTGGATTAACTTAATGAGCACATGAAAGATTCTTTACCAGTTAATGGCTGTATATAAAGGCTGTTTTTTCAAAGCTATGCTATAGGAGAACAGAAGCTACAGGTTGGATGCAAGAGTTACCAAGTTACCAAGTGAAGCTTCTTACAGCAGACCTGGCCAGAATATATATCTAATATATTATARTAAAGTGAAATTGAGAGAATTTTACTTTGTTTCTGACATACTATAGCAAACCCACACAGCTGTCAAATATCAACATCTCATCTCACAGTGAAGAAATTGTGATGGTTTTTGATAAAAACATCCCCTGCAGTTCTCATTTGCAGGGCCACCAGGCTCCCAGAAAAAAAAAAAAAAAAAAAAAAGATGCGGTCCAGGGATCTGTTTTATCGGGATACAAACTGGAAGTACTTAGTACCCCAAGACCATGCCATGAATTCTCCTCCCAGCATTAGACTGATGAAGTCAAAAGCTACTTTCCAGCTCGCTACAAGAGCCCCAATTAGGCAGTTTGACAAGGAGCACGCTGTGCCAATTCCTGACATCAGCAACAGGCCAACGTAGGTGTTGTTTTGAAACAATGAAAAGCCCAGCTTACGCCACTTATTTAATAGCTTCAAGCTGTTAAAACATAAATATTTTTTAAAAATCCTTCTGGAGTCAGGAAACAGCCCTTTTGAGACATCACATATGGCTTCATAAGAACAAATTTGAAGCCACAGGCAACCTACTCTTCATATTTCTGAAAATTAGTCCTCTGGGACCAATGGTTACAGGTCCTCAGAGAAGCATTTGGTAGCTCTGGAAATAAAACTCACCTTCCCCAAGTACTTCTAAATCCTTGTGCCTGTTGAGCCCTGCGTCCATAAACCAACATACAGAGCAGCTTGGATCCATGCTGAGGTGACAGGTTTATGGGGCATGCAAGCTGCATTACAGTAGGCAGAAAGGAAGGCTTGCTGGGCTATAGAATACAGAACACAGTCAGTGCTTGACGTGCTTTTAGAAAGAGACATCCACAAAACTACATCTGAAACCAGCTGGGTCAAACCCAACCTCATTTCCGAGACCGCCTCTAACTTTGCTTTCCACTTCAGACGGAACAAGCCTGATCCAATTAAATTCAGCGCTGCTACCAGCAAGCACAGTTTCCCCTAAATGCAGCAGCAAGCACCCTTCCTTGGGTCAAGGCTGAGCTCATCTCAGCAAGCCATTCCCCTGCTCCTCACAAGAGCTTCGTGGTGCATAGCAAGGTGCATTAAGTGCACGGTGCATTTTGTGCTTTGCGGTGCATAAGTGAAGCAGCAGTGCCTGGTGGCTGTGCAGTGCATTGCAGTAACTGCTGAGTCCTACCCAGCTCCAGCCAAGCCGCTCGCATGGACAAAGCCACTCTGGGCTCTTCCAGGCGAGGAAGGGCRGGGAAGGCCCAGGATACAGGGCTTCCATGAAGGCTGCAGCACCTCCTTGACCCYGGACAAGGCTCTCCTGCGCAGAGGACTTCAGTCCTCAGCTGCGTTTCACACAAGGCTCTGCGAGAGCACAAGCTCACCTGAACGCTCCGAGTCCCACTCAAGCGAGGTGCCACCGCTCACACACGGGTGCCTCCATAGCACAGGGGAACGATGAAAAGCTCCTCTGAACCCAAGCCAACCATAGGAAATGCAGAGAAGAGGGGTATGGCCTTAACGCAATTAAAAACACTTCTATCTGAGATTTTTCACTTGCAATCCCTCTCCGGGCCTCTACCGTGTAAGAAAACACGTTTTTCATCCAGAAGAATGGCTTTGCTCCTACCTCACTGACTGGGACACGCAGCCCGACTCTGTCAGATTTATAGGTAGAGCTAGAATCCAGACCAATTTTACCTCAAAGACTTTAGCTACTAGACCATACAGTCAATTTTCATGGCCAAGGAATATTTAAATCAAGAGAAATAGCTTTAATATAAGAGATTTAGAACCCCCCACACACATGCTGAAACGATTAAGGCACTTCGATGTAAGAGCTTTTGTCAGAGCCCTTCCCTCACCACGAACAAGTGCCACGAATTACAGAGCACACCAAGCTAACCACGGGGCCTGGACTCCTTTCTTTGGGAAGGGTTGAGGTGGAGCTCCTGTTCACGGAGGCTAGAGCATGCACAGGAGCCCGTGTGGTTCTGTCTGCTGCAGATCGGTTGTAAATTCTCATTGCATAAGCCAGTTCACAGGAACTTTCCCCACTATATTTACAACCTGAACTCCAAGGCGCAACCAGCGCAGGAAGGGGAACAGGCAGAGCCGCTGCCAACGGGCGCGGGACAGGTTCTGATTGCGCTTACACACCCCGCACGGGGGAGAGGYAAAGACTGAAGGAGCAAAGGAGAGGGGAGGAAAAACAACTGCCTTTTGTTTCATGTGGCACTTTGTCGTACGGATAGAGCCGTGCTCACACAGAGGACATCCAGCAGCTAAACCTGCTCGGGCTTGAAAAGCTCAGCCAGTGCTGGAAGCATTCCAAAGGCAACAACCAAAAGACCAAGGAAATTCAGTAATTTTTATAATAATGAAGAAAAAAATAAAATGGCCACCCATGGTTTCGGCATGTGAATTCCTGCCCCACTCACTACTCATGTGCCACGTGTATGTGCTGAGCTGGCAAACCCTGCAGACTGTAAGGCCAAAAAGCTGTTCAATCAAATTCACATTACACGAGTGCGCTCCACCTCAGGGCTGTCAGAACCGCTCACAGACACGTAAGGGAGCTCGGAAAAGCTCGGAGCACCTCGGAGGCAGGCAGGAGGCCGCCCTGGGGACGGATGCAGCCGGGTTATGTGACTCACCACGGCCAGGGCGCACGGGCTGCACGTGGCTCGAGCTCCTCATGGCTCACGGGAGCTGGGATGCGCGTCGGGGCCGARGAAGGGTGGACGGGCAGGACCGGAATCCAGCAAACTCCTCCTGCAGGGATAGCGCCGGGGCTTGCATGCTAAATAAATAAATAAACACATAAATAAATACATAAATATTATTCATTTTTATTAATTTTATATAGAAAGAGTAGAAATGTGATTAGATTTCACTACCCTCCTGGATTTTCTTTTCTTTCTACTGGATTTTTGTTTGTTATGACTATTGACATATGAATTATCTGTTACAGCAAAAATCTACCTTTTTGTTTTCTCATAGCTAAGTGTAAAAAAGTAATATTGTTCTTCCAGTAGAAATGCTCCTTGGTCAATATCTGTAGATATGCATGAAAACAATTTAATTAATTGATGCTAGGTAGAAATAGTAACAGATAAATAGGCAGAGTGGAGGCCAAGGCCACGAAGCTCCTCCTTGACTTGTGCATCTACCATAGCATCTTACTTACAGTGAGATAAACTTTAGGACAAGTCATTGTTCCCAAATAATGCAGGAAATAAATGCATATTACACCACAGTAACACTACAGTAAATGCATACTACACCCCAGTAACACTACAATAAACGCATACTACATTACTGTAGACATGAGGGTGAACTCTCAGTGTGGTCAGGAAAGGCAAAGCATTTTGGTGTCTCATCCCCAATTACTTGTTAAAGCTCTATAGCTTGTTATAATTGGTGCCAGCCCAAATGCCTATAGCTGCCAAGCTTGTACATGAGGCTRTTATTTGTGAGGTCAAAATTAATTAACAAGAGGCCTGACACCATTTAACGGCGTTCTGAAGATGTATGGTGACTGAAAATTTGTGTTTGAGATTTAACCCACTGAGAAACTGCATCAAAGCACAATAAATATGTGATAATGGCTGCAAAATGCAGGGCTAGTGGAATTCGGATCGCCAGTGCACTGATACTAAGGCCTCCTGAACAACCGTCCCGCGCCGGTCRTTTCTCCAGGCGCACGGGCACACTCGGCCGGCGGCTTCTCTGCTCTCACACGTGCAACCTTTAGTCTGATTTACAGCTCTCCATCCCAAGTGTTCTGAGGAGAAAACCACCACTCAGTGTGTGCCACTGCAGCACCCGAGCCCTCCAGGACATGACATAATTTAGTGTCATTATTATTTATGCAACCATGGGGACAGACGTGTCGTCGCAGTCGTTTCCAGCCTGCACAACTGCAYGTGCTGCAACAAAAACCTGACCACAGGACACATCTAATCCGGCTTTGTCGGGCTGAAACCGGACACARACTGGGCTCCTCCCAAGCTACCTGCTGAGGCTCTGGTTCCCCTCTCCTTGCCTCTTCAGKGACACTGTCCCCATGGACTTGGTTGTCGCCCTCCCATCTCCCCCTGGAGCACTAAGCGAGGCGGCCGCGGCGCAGAGGCAGCGGATGCTGCTCCGGGCGCGGGTCCCCGCGCCGCCTTCCCGCCAGCTCTGCCCGGGCAGCTCGGCGGCTCCCCGCTCTGGGCTCCTGTCTTGTTTCGGACCCACGCGCTGCTCCCCGCGGCCCTGGCGGGAGGACAGCCCAGGGCGGCAGCGCAGGGAGCTCGCGCTCGCCTTGGGACTGCAGGGAGCTCTCACAGGCGGGGCTGACGGCCGGGGCCTGCTGCTGCCACCGGGATGGGACACGGGGCCCGGGTAACGGGACACGGGGCCGGGGTACAGCACACGGGGCCGGGCGGGGCTGCGGCTGCCGCTGCTGCTCGGCGGGCTCTCCGCTCCCCCCGGCCTCGGCGCCGCGGGATGCCGCCCTGCGGCCGCGGCCGCCCTGCGGGCCCGTCCCGGCGCTGGGGGCTCCCAGCCGCCTCCGCCGCCAGCAGGGCCCGCCCGGCGGCCGCGCCCGCCCCCGCCGGCCTGGCCCGGAAGAGGAAGGCGCGGAGCGGCGCAGCGGGCGCGCGGCCATGGCGGAGGCGGCGGGCGCCGCTGTGGTGATCGGCGCCACGGTGCCCACGGGCTTCGAGCTGACGGCGGCGGCCGAGGTGGAGGAGAAGCTGGGCGCGCGGGCCGGCGTGAGCCGCGACCGCGGCAAGATCTACTTCGGCGTGGCGCCCGAGCGGCTGCCGCAGGTGGCGCGAGCACGCGTGGGTGTGTGCGTGCACGTGTGTGTCCTGCGTGCACGTGTGTGCCAGGCATATGTACGTGCCATGCGGAGGTATGTGTGCCGTATGTACGCATGTGCGCCATGCGTAGGTATGTGTGCTGTGTGCGTGTGCGCCATATGTGGGTATGTGCGTCCATGTGCGTGTGTGTATGTGAAAGCCATGCATGTGTGTGTGTGTGCGCCGTGCGTACATGTGTGTGCATATGTGCATGTGTGCCATGTGTACGTCTGCGTGCTGTGCCTGTGTGCCATGAGTATGTGTGTGCCTTGCATATGTATGAATGCCATGCATATGTGTGTGCATTCTGTGTGTACAYGTATGTGCCATGTACACATACGTGTGTGCACAGTCAGCCACCTACCACGCTGTCCCCCTGCAGGTGCACCGCCTGCGCTCCGTGGACAACCTCTTTGTGGTGGTGCAGGAGTTCAAGGACTTCCACTTCAAAGAGAGCAAGGTGAGGAGCGCTCGGGCCTCGCCGCAGCCCCGCGGCCTTGGATATCCAGGGCCAAAAACACCCTGTACTCAAATGACTTCCCAAGCCCCCAAAAGATATTATTTTTGTCTCTTAAAGGAAGAAGCTCTGAAGGACTTGGAAGATCTGGTTAAGAAGCTGCCTTGGACTGAGCCCTTGAAAGTCTGGGAGCTGAACAACAGCTTGAAGAAGAAAAAGACAAAGCGCAAGAAGCAGAACCTGCAGAACGCTGCGAGCAAAGAAAAGCTGAACGGAGATGGAGAAGAGGAGAGGGAGCAGAAAGATGCCAGTGACCAGAGCTGCCCCGAAGACGCTGCAGGTACCGAGCGCGCCAGCACTGAGGACACRGGAGCCGCGCAGGGAGAGGCGCCGCAGCCGGGCAGCGACGACGACGAGGACAACAAGCAGTCGGATGCCAAGGAGGAGGCGCCCGCGGGTTCCGGGGGCGAAGCCAAGGCTGCGGAGGGACAGAAGGGCGAGGGGGACGCGAGCGTGCTGAAGTTCCGTGTGACATGCAACAGGGCCGGGGACAAGCACAGCTTTACGTCCAACGAGGCTGCGCGGGACTTCGGCGGCGCTGTGCAGGAGCACTTCCAGTGGAAGGCCGACATGACCAACTTCGATGTAGAGGTAGAGCCTCAGCCCCAGATGCAGGCGACGCTGAAATCGCCCCTTCTTAGTCCTCGTTTCAGAGTTCCCTAACRTGCTTTGGGAGCATGGCAGGGCCTGAAGCGGAAAATAGCTGAGGCTGAAATCGTGGCCAGCGTGATCGYGTCAGGCTGCATTTCCTCACCTCACACTTCCTAATGCCGTAGCTGTGTGTAATAATTCTCTCTTTTATGTCCCAAGGTGGGCACTTCTTTTCCTCAAGCTCTCCCTGTTTGGCACACACTGTCTCTTTCTCCTCAGGTTAACTAAACAACGGCAGGTCACAGTCAAGCTGCTGTTCCAGGTCCCCTTAGCTATAGGAAATGGTCCAATACCAAGTATGATCTTCTGCCGTTTGAAATCCTGTGTGAAGGAATCTGTGTGTGAGGAAGCTTATGCTGTCCTTACTTTTGTCCTTTGCCCACGTTACAAACTGTGCATTGCTTTTCTTCCAGGAATACCCTGCACCTTTTAAACATATTTCCTATTTCTAAATGGCCACCTGTGTTCCATGCAACCATTAACCAAATGTAGTATGGGAAACACTTTGTTACTGTTGAAATTTAGTTCAAGTTTTTCTTCAGGTTCTCCTGAATATTCACAATAACGAAGTAGTGGTGGGCATTGCATTAACTGAAGAGAGCCTGCACAGAAGAAACATTACACATTTTGGACCAACAACTCTTCGATCAACCCTCGCTTATGGCATGCTTAGGTCAGTATAGCTGCATAATTATATATCATTTTCAGTAAGTATAATCACTGGATGTTTTACTACTTAGAAAAAATAAATGTTAGCTTTGATCTATTAGACACTTTTCAAAATACACTGTGACATTTTTGAAAGTATTACAGATACAAAATGCTAATTAAGAAATGGAAATAATAATTACAAAGATGTTATTTTGTTAGAAGAGTATAGACTTCTTATGTTTTCCTTTATGCTTTCCTTATGACCTTTTTGTGTTGTCTTGTCTCTCTCAGGCTCTGTGATCCGCAGCCAACAGATATCATAATCGACCCAATGTGTGGAACAGGCGCAATACCAATAGAGGTGATTTTTTAATTTAATAAAACTTATGATGGTATCCAAATTTATTTATTTTGGTAAATTACTTCATTTTCCTTTCCCAAGCCAAGCAGTAAGAAACTAAATTCAAAAGTATTTTGAGCTTTTAAGACACACAGTACCTATAACAAGTATCTGATGGAGAATTTTTCAATGGTTCAAGTTAGGTTACAGTTGCTTTACTATACTATTATATTGAGTAATTCTTTTTTTTCCTTTTTTCTTTTTTTTCTTTTTTATTAATCACTATTAATGGCAATGATGCTTATTATTTTCCCTAGGGAGCTACAGAATGGCCTAGTTGCTACCATATTGCTGGTGATAACAACCCACAAGCTGTAAAAAGAGCTGCAAACAATATCTCCTCTTTACTTAAGAAAAATGAGAATAAGGAAGGGTGAGAAGAATGCAAGTGACTTTCTTTTTGTAGAGTGTTTTATGTAAAGAAATCTGTTTTGCATGCATTTACCTGAAAGCTTTGCTGACATTTTCCTATGTATTTTTTGATGATGTTATAGACCTTGTAATCTTTAAAAAATCCTCAGTACCCCCTGTCTGAGATGAACATCTTTGCGCTTGYAGAACCTCCTCGGGCATTCCCTTGGATATCATTCAGTGGGATATTTGCAATCTCCCATTGCGGACTGGTTCTGTGGATATAATTGTGACAGACATGCCATTTGGAAAGAGGTGAGGTATCCTTCTTTTTAAGTTGCTCTGCTTAACTGCTACTAYTCTTAAGTGCTTGTATGTCCCGTCAATTGGTCCTCGTCAAGAAGCACCGTCTATATTACAAATGGAGGTTGAAATGAGTAGTAAAAGTATCRTGTCCTCAGGGCCAACTGCAGTTAACTGTCCTTCAACAATCACAAAGAGATCTTATTTTTATAGGATAGGTTCTAAGAAGAAGAACTGGGATCTCTATCCAGCCTGCCTCACAGAGATGGGCCGGATCTGCAGGCCTGGGACAGGCAGAGCGGTGCTGCTAACGCAAGATAAGAAATGCTTTGCCAAGGTATGACACTGAGACAAAACTTTACAAGTAAATCAAGCATGTTTTTACACATAAACATATAATTATAAAGAAATTGCAAGCTGATCTTACTACAGAAGATGATCCATTTTTAGAGAAATAGTTAGTAGTATCATCYTACTCTAACACAGATTTAGACCTGAAGAGTCTTTTGACTTTGCTTTGAGAGGTGACTTGACATAAACAAAAAAGGATGATGATAAATGTCTAAAGCAATTTGTTAACATATCGTGAAGTCACCACTAATGTCTGTTTTTCCGCGGTTGTTTTTTGTGATTGCAGGCTCTGTCAAGAATGGGGCACATCTGGCGTAAAGGGCAAACCGTGTGGGTGAACGTAGGGGGACTTCATGCTGCAGTGTATCTGCTGAAACGCACCTGGGAAAGGGCAGAAGAAAAAAGATCTTTCTGGTAACTCGTGGGAAGGAAACAGCAGACACCTCTGGAGTTTCCTGAATGGCAGTGGGTGAAGCCGACACCTGAGGCTGTAGCTCTGTCAAGTTCTAAGTGGGGGGGGAAAAAAAGTTGCAAAAGTTGTGGCACATGAATATTGAGCCAGGGATTAGCTTGGGAATTGTCAATTGTACCCTTGTGCTCTGAAATCTTATTTAAATTGCCTCTATCCTTTGCCTCCCAAACTGCATTTTGCTACTGGCATTAGCAATGCTTTCCTTTGCCTGAGTCTTCTAACATGGCCATTCTGTTTTTCAGATAATTGTATATGTCCTCTGCTTAGAGTAGGAAACTCCTCTGCTTATAGTAGAAAACATATTCACACCTATTGGCAGTAGCAGTTAATTTTTTCCCCTAACTGTAGAAATTGCACATATATCCTAAAATGACTCATAAGACTACTAARACAGTCATCTTGCAGTTTAGAGGCAGTAGCTCTTTAATGTAAGATTTTTTCCAAATAGAAGTTTTCTAATTTATACCATTGCCAAATGTAGAACAGATTATAAATTAGTGTCTGGGTTCTTTTTWTTACTCTAATAAGCAAATGCCAGTTCATTAACAGTTCATTGATGCTGCTGTTCTCCTTACCTGTTACCTCAACTTACTGCTAATTACTAGTAAATGTTTAATTCATGTTTTAATGTACCACTGCCATAGGTGAGGTGGGATAGTAACACAGCCTTAGGAGACCATTTGTAGTTACTATGTGAATAATGGAGATACTTTAGCAGTTATTAAAAAGTTCATATTTTCAATATCTGTTGTAGACCGAGATGACAGTATGTTTAAACTGCTATAGTTATGCCACCATCTTTACAAAAATATTTCGTGTTGAATAAACTGAAATTGCRAATACCATTTCTTCTACAAATGTACTGTGATTTCTCAAGCCTCTTTTTCAGGGACTGAAAAAAATAATTTTATTTGCAAGTTTGTCATCTTCATTAAGGTGTATTCATGCTAACTATGTGCAAGTGTTTAAAGGTGGAATAACAGTTATTAAAGTTTGAGATGTTTTGCATAGGAGATAAGTCTTAATCGCATTCTTTCTCTGGCCTGTGTCCAGCAAAGGATAACAGTGTTTTATTTACTACAGCGTTGTCTTTCTGGGTGACACAATGCCAGGAGTGCTCTTTTAATTCCGTCCTGCTCGTCTTCATTTATATGGCCATGTTAAGCTAATAGCTACAAGTTTTGCATGAAGTGGTCAACTGAACACTTGTGTAATAGCGATATATTAGATTCTTAAAATGCATTAATACCTTGGTGTGTTGCCACTGTCAATATTTCTTAAAAGGAAGAACAAGCACTATAGTATATTAAGACCTTAAATTATGCCTTTTTTTTCCTTGTGCTGAAGATGAGGATAAGCTCATCTCTTTTGGCCTGAAAGGTGATGCAGTTGTATTGTGCTTTCAAACTAGACCCAGCATTAAATAGATTCAAATCAGAGAGAGGTGACCTAGCAAATTAATTTTGATATCAGGATATCGATGCTAATRTTACAGGCTGCTGCTGTGAAATTAGACGGCTAAATAGTAATCACGCTAAAATATGCAGTTGTCATGATTGTGATGTGCTTCCTAAGGAAAAGTACATTTGAAAATATTCCTTTAATATTTTTAAATTCTAATAAACTACTCGGGGGCAGTAGGATGTACAGTGAAGTCTGGCAGGTGTGACTCCTCTAGCAGCGCAGTGTGAAGCAGCTTCCCTTGAAGATGACACTTCTGGTTTCATGTGAGGTTGGTACCAGACGCTGGGTAACAGACAGATTCAGTTAGGACAGTTGGCCCTTGGGTGCCTCTGATTTGCAAGGTTTGTGTTTCTATCACGGAAAGAAAATTTTGGAAGTAACAACCTTAGAGCAAGGGGCAGCGAACCAGCCTACGCAGCAATTCTTGTGTTTTTTCCAGTATACTGGAAAAAATACAAGCCATGGGTAGTAGTTCCTACTGTGTCATTTTTAACCAAATTACGCACTCCTCCCTCACAGGTTGCCAGAGGCGGTACAGAAATGACTGTACGGCAGCGTCCTTCAGGTCAGCCCTTCTGCAGCACGTTAAGCGTTTGGCTGAAGTGAGACATGAACAAATCGTCCCGCGCTGCGGAGAGCCGCAGYGCGGGGAGGCCGCGTTCCAGGGCGCGAGGAGCGGTGCTGAGGGAAGGCGCTCGTCACGACGCGGCAGCGCGTTCAGAGGAAGCTCCGCGGTTGTCTCTCCACGGCGGCTGCGGCTCCGTGGTGCCGCAGGCCTCGTGCGCTGCCGCGGCTCGGCGCGCGGCGGCTTTCGGAGGCGCCGCGGCCGGTACCGCCGCTCTCCCTCACGGCGCCGCCGCCTCCCGCCGCCCTCGCGGCGCATGCGCGCTCCC